AAAAGCAAATTAACAAAGCAAATAATTTCGCAAGACAAAAATCGGAAAACGAAAAATAAATTATAGCACAAGTGCAGGCGAGTTAAGTAAGAAATTATATAATTTGCGCTTAAAGATATTCAAAGACGAGGCGCCACGAATGTCCAGTGGGATGCTATTCCAAAACCTGGCTGCAGGATCTGAAAGATCGTTTAAAACATTCAGTTCTACATAGAGGCAGAGAGAGAATATCTCCCTGAGTACCGGTTGATCGTACAGATCGAATGCTTCTGTACTCAAAACTCCGGTGCAGATAGACAGGCTGTTTTGATCTTAGAATACAATAAGTTAAGCAGCCCACAAAGTACATTCGCCTCGCTCTCACCTTGAGCCAGCACAGCCTAGTGTAATATGATGTGACATGCTCATCATATTTAATCCGGAAAATATATCTTATACAAGCATTAAAAACCCTGTACAGTTTAAGATCAAGTTCACCAGTGATGTCAGTCAGAACAGTGCAACTATAATCAAATATCGGTAATATAAGAGTCGTCACTAAACTGATGCGAAGGGATTGCGGAATAAGATGCTTGAATAGTTTCAACTGATAAAGGGTACCATGAACCCTAGCAGACATTAATGAGATATGACTGTTCCAGGAGAGGGTTTTAGACAGGGAGAAACCCAGATATACCACTGAGTCACAATATGGTATTATGGAGTCTCCCACGACGATCCGAGGCAGTTAATCAATCGCAAGATTGTTGATATACTTAGCGGAGCCCATAATCATGGCCGACGTTTTGCATGGGTTTACTGTGAGATCATTTTCGCAAGTCCAATCAAGAATTCTGCTAATATCAGCGTTTACAGCTGCGACAGCACTATGCAGATTTTTCGGTTCAACATGCAGGTAGATGAGAAGGTCATCGGCATAAAAACTGTATTTACAGTTCTTTAAAACCCGACCGAAACTGATTAGATAGAGCAAAAAGAGAAGGGGTCCAAGGACAGAGCCCTGAGGAACCCCCTTCCCCAGCGTCAACTCCGATGAAACCTCACCCGTGTTAGGATCCCTGACAGCTTGTCTCCTTTGGTCTAAATAAGAACAAATCCATCTTAAGGAAGAGCAGGAAAAATTCAATTCTCTTAATTTTCCAATTAATATCTTGTGATTCACGTTATCGAAAGCCTTGGTGAAATCGAAGAAGACTGAGATTGTAACCTTCCTGGCATCAACCGCATGCCTCACATCGTCAAGTATCCTGATCAGTGCTGTCTGAGTCGAATGACTTCTCCTATAAGCAGATTGATAAGCATCAAACAAGCCACGCTGCTCCATGTAATCCGTGATCTGTCCCGCCGCAATGCGCTCCAGAGCCTTAGAGACAGAGGAAAGCAATGATATAGGCCTGTAATGGCTCAATTCCGTAGGGCATTTGACTTTCGGAGGTGGACAGACAATCGCTGACTTCCACAAGGAAGGATAGACTCCATGATTCAGACTGTAGTTGAAGATATGAGTCAGAACCGGCAGAACACATGGCAGAGCTCTCATGATGACATCATGTGAGATTCCATCACAGCCGACCGCAGAAGATTTGTCCCTGCGTAAAAACTTGACAACATCGCTCGGATAAATGTAGCTCCAATAGAATCTGTTTTCCTCATAGCCAGTCTCACCAAGATACAC